AAAGAGTAATGGCTTTTCGAAATAGATTAGTTGAACTCATTAATCAACAGTGTATCAACTTACCATTCCTGGCAAACATGCACATGTTTCATACCACCAGTATCCAAGACACATATCAAAGTCATACCTACAGGCAATTTAGAGTCAATAATTCACCTAATTTGGAAACCGGTGCTCACAGGGGAAAACCGCAGAGGCACAGGGGAGAACAGAAGGCCAAAAAGGTGACTTTTTATCTCCAATCTGTAAAATGTAGTGACCAGAGAATGGATACACTGCTGAACCATCATGCTGAAAGGCCCACTGGATAAAGGCATATGTGCTAGGTGATGTTAGACATTAAGCAATCAAATGTTTAAGGGGCAATACTTCCACAACAGCTAAATATAGAGACAAAATATGGCTGTGAAGAGGGCAGGAGGCATTAGCTCTGATGGACTTATATTTTTCGTTTTTCTTGTGTGGAGTTAAAAAGCAGACGGTCCCTGACATCAAGCGATGCAAATCCGCCTTTTGTTCTCGTGGTGGAGCTGGCCATGGTGCTGAAATTGGTCTACTCAACCCCAGTGACATTATCATGGCTCAAATCTTACCTCTCAGAGTGCAACAAAAAAAGACAGACATTATTTTAATAAGTGTGCTTGTAAATCCAGGGACCGTAATTTCGCGCACAGACACACGCCCTCTCTGAAATCTCGACAGCATGTAAACAATGAGCCCACATGACAGTAGGCTGCACACACCCGACCTGCGCACAAGGGGACTCTTCTAAGGAGTCACGATCTGGACCTGCATGTCTTAAACAACTACAGCAACATTACAGTGTTTATTTTAAAAACACATCAAACCTCTGGGCACAGATCTCTCTACGGCCCCACCGTTAATTCCAGCAGAATATCTCTTGTCTTTAATGTTAAGACTGCCATCTGTCATCAGCCACTAAATCCAATCCGCCTTCTACCCTGCAACTCCAGTATAAGCCCACACGCCCACAAAGACTTGAGAGTACGTCTGGCTTTGATCAGGTATAAAATGATCGATAAGTGCGCGTGATTTGTGTCACTTTCACAATGGATGGCGTTGTTTATTTCAGAGTGTAACCAACGACGACATCTGGTGACGAGCTGCAACCACAAATGATGCCAGTGGCGCTGTGAACTGACTTTAACTGGAGACTTGCATGTGTTTTCGTGCTTTACAGTGGTGGACGAAGCATTCAAATCCTTCGCTTAAGTAAAAGTAATAATACAACAATGTAGGCTACAAATACTGCATTACAAGTAAAAGTCATGCATTTGAAAAACATACAGAAGTATAGATGTATTTTCAGCATCATTTACTTAAAATATCAAAAGTAAAAGTAATGTTGAATGACCTTCATAGTGCATTATGAAGATTATTTTCTACACTGGTGTATTCATGTGTAACTAGCATTTTACTGTTGCAACTGGTTGAGGTGCAGCTAATTTTAACTACACCATTGTTCAATCTCTAGCAGTGCAGGTCTGACTTTGCCTGGGTCCTAAAAACATAATTTTCTTAAAACAGGTGAATAAATCTGTTAGTGCAGAACAGTATTTCAACCTGTATCTTTAAACACAAAGGTAAAAGGCGCTTCTGCACTAGATTTATGAACAATGAAACTTATTAATTAATTAATTTGCATTAACAAAACATTTACAGTTATAGACTAAGATTTTTTCAAAGAAACAAATTCACTATGATTTAAAAGGTGGTCATATGTTTTCTGTATGAAAAATCTTAATGAGGAAAGAAGCAACAGCTTTTAAATAAATGTAGTTGAATAAAAAGTGCAAATTTTCCTTAGAAAGTACAATTATAAAGTAGCCTGAAATGGAAATAACAAGTATGTCAAAATGTTACTTAAACAATACTTGTACTATATAATGTACTATTATATTCCACCACTGGCTTAAATTAAAGACAGACATGTTTGCTGGAGCAGTAAAATACTCCACAAACAGCCTGATCCCTAATGGGAGTCAGAATGTTTCACCCGCTTTGTCTTCTGTAGTGAAATCAATATATCTCCAAATTTAGTGATTTTGATATTTCTTGATATTTCATGAAATGCTGAAAGAGAGAAAGTTCCCTTATTACCTAAAATTAAAAAAAACATCCTAACATTTAGGAGATGTTTTGACAGTTGCAGATTGCATTTGCAGTTGCATTTACAGATGCACATGACTATCTGTAACATATTGCAAATAAATAAGTACACAACACAACCAGGTTTTATTTTGACATGATCAATAATTCTTTATTTCACAAAAACATGCATTTAATGGACCTTGTTTCATATTGGAGGTGTTTGTGTGTGTGGTTGGGGGGTGGGGGGTGTAATTGTGTGTATGAGTGGGAGACATCGACAAAGATATAGAGTACAGCGATATAATAATAAAAAAGTACTCAATAATCCTGGCTGTACTTACTCACATGGGCCTCTCTGTACAGCCTTCCTGCTCCCATTTGATTCATCCCAAACACTGAACACACAGAGAAAGAGAGAGAACATTTAATTTTTATTTTCTCCAACCCTGTATTGATTGCTTTGATTTCCTGAGGCTGTCACTCAGTCTCTGATGTATTAGACTGGAGGCTTACCCGACTGCTGCGGTGCACAGCAGTCACGTCAGACCATGAAGAGCCATCACTGGGAGCGGTGCAAGACTCAAAGAAGAGAGCCACCACAGCATCACCGCTCCCCCTCCCTCTTCTTCAGGTTCCAGTTAACATGTGGAAAAAGGTTCCCCATCACATCGGAAACATCAAAGCGAGGCTCCGGATCCCTGAGGAGGAAAACAGGAGGAGGGAGGGGATGAAACAGAAAATAGGTTAAAAATCAAGGGAAAGAAGGTTTGTGCAACATTCAAGAAAGTAAACATTATTTCTCGGGCAGGATAAATGAATACAGAAAATATATTGGTTATTATGACGCACGCCAGTACTACTAGCGCAATAAACGACATCAACAATCTCCCTGGCAAAACGTGCAGAATCTGAAGGTCGACACAAATTTTTTTGTGCGCGCTCTATGGCTGCTCCTCGTCTCACAAAGCAGACTAATAAAGTCAAAGTGATCCTGGAAAGATCTACTGACATCTGGCGACGGTTGGCTCACCTGAGCTCACTGCACTATTTATTTCAGGAACGTTTATTATCCGTCTGATTGCCTCTTTCTGCCTCGTAATAATCATTTATTTCGCATAAAAACGTCGAATAAACTAAAAATGTGTTGAATGAACTTTTAGCTTCTCTTTTTCTTTTTCATTATTTCGTCTAAAATCGGATTTTGCTTAGTGGCAGGAGTGAAGCCAGGTCTAAATCGATACTCGTTTCCCTAAACAAAGGCTGTAATAATTGTCTTAATTACGGCCAATCTAACCCGAATGGATTAATCAGTTAGAATCTGATCCAGATGCACATTTCTTCTGAAGTAATTAAAGCTGAAATGTGAATGGAAAACACAAATCCCTGCGGCTGGTTTAAAGAGTTAAGGTTTATTATTGTTTTATTATGTTTTTTCACTACTCTCACAAAATCCAGATACATTAAAAGATTCACTTATAATTGGGTTACTGTGATCTAGTTAATTTAGTCTAACAAGAAACATCTATTTGTCTTTAAAGCATAACATAAAAAAATCATCGACTTTAAATCCAACAAGGGTCAAAATGGAGCAAAAGTCTAATAATAATTTTATTTTTCGCAAATAATTTAATCAAGTAAGGATTTTAACACGTTTTATAACTGCCTAATCAATCTTACTTTGTCTTTCAAACTTGTTCTCAGGTTGAAGCTCTGAGTGAAGACAGTTTGGCCTCAAATTAGGTGTCCCTCACATTCCCCTGTCAGAGCCTTCTACTGTGCCATGATGGAAACAAACATCTGTTTTCCAAAGGGAACTGGAAATGGAAACGTGTTACATCACCTGCACAGCAAACAACAGTGCCCTGGATGTGTGGAAGGATTTTAAATTGAACCAAATGGATAGTTTTAATGATCAACGTTTGCAGAGGCATTAGGCTTAAAGCCTTAAATACAAATATTTGGTGGATATGTAACAGCTTGCAAGAAAGGCTGATGGTAAACTACAATACATTTCAAAATACTACAGGTTCAAAAAGAACAGACTAATCTAAGGAATGCGTTACCTATGTATCAGTGGAGAATAAGTTCAGCTTAATAGACTCCACTGAAAATACCAGTCTAAGACAAACATCAATATCATGCTCAATTATTATTATTTTCTTAGGCCAAATTGAAACATATGCCAAACTGTTCGATAGTGCTACTAATAGCAAACCAAACCAAGCACATACTAAGATTGCCACACGAAACTCCTCTCTTCTACAGTTGACTTCACCAAGTAACCTATAGGGACATTTAGGGTCAGTTCAGTTAACCGTGAGCTGAGAAAGCACATGAAAACTTTGAAGATTTTATAAAATGACCAATTAAACAAACACAGATATTAAACAACAGGGACATCCACACAGTTTGAAGGAAGCGACCTTGGCATGGACATTCCTATTTTGTTTAATCTAATGTCTATAGCTAAAAAAAATAAATATCCAGAGCACAGACAATTTTCTTTTTAATGTGACCTTTAGAAACGGCTGCATCTTCTTTGGTGGAACAGCAAGTTCTCAAATGGTAGAAAGACATAATGGATGTTTTTTTAACTACTTCATATTTAAATACCATAAATGTACCTAAATTAGAGGAGCTTGGCCTGTTTTCTCCGATGTTGCATAGAAAACTTTGGTGGACCAACCTTTTTCGAGTATTATTTAAAAGCATAATGTAACCCGTATTCACTTAAATGAACTTCATAGAAAAATTAGGTATGCTAATTTCTCTGGTGATGGACAGAAGATAATGTTTTAGTTTAGGCACACTCAAATGTTATGTATAGATGATGACTAATAGTTTAGGGCAGTGGTGCAACAGTCAGAGGAAAGAAAAAGAAACCAACACACTTTTTTCAAACTCAGATTTTTATTAGTCAGTACAAGTAAAACGAAACTGAAGAAGAGTATCTTCATCCTCGCCCAAAATGCCCTTCTTCTGCGTCGGTGTTGGAGGCTGAAAAAAATAACTCACACCTCCTTCTCCCTTTAAATAGACTTGTGCCGCTCTCCTTGAAAGGAACTTAACGAGACGTAAAACTATCGCCGAGGGGATATTACGCACTACTGGAGAAAGCATCGCTTCACAAATATAACATTCGGAGTAGGAACAATGAAAAATCACTTGCCCAATTATTCTAACGAGATTTGTGGAAGGAACATAAATTCTATAACATTCACTCTGTTTTCATACCCAATGTGAAATTTAAATTGATGTTTTACCGAAAGCTACTAAGATACTGCTGATATGGAAGAGAAGCAGTCAAAACTGCTCGCTGAAAAACTAAATCACAGCAGAAACATTGCATCAACTACATTCTTTTGTTACTCTCTTAGCAAAAATAACTATCTTCCGATTCAACGTCTATGACCAGTAGACTGACACTTGACCGCATGCACACACGCATACCATGCACACACCCTGACCTATATTAAACTGATGCTAAATTACATATTTAATGCAATGCTTCATACTGGAGCAAATAACACAAAAAGTGAATTATATATATCCACCTCTTATTTTCTTTAATCTTCTGTCTTCACTGTTCAGCTCAGCAGCCCTCTCAGAGCCTCCGATTTCTTTTACATCTCCCAGTGGTGTCTCTTGTTCTCCTCAACCTTCTGAACATCCTTTATTCTTCTCCATTTACATTTTTCTTCTGGTAGCTGCTGAATTAATCTTTCAGCATAACCTTGTCTCCTGATGCACACCCTCAGTATCTGCACTTTTATCTTTCCACATTTTCCATTTCAGAAGCTTCTCATGGCAGGGTGTGGACCTCAACACTGAGGGACTAGCAAGTTACTGACCAGTCTTTAAAGTCCCGCCTCGTGCCTTCATGACTTCCACAGTGATTTAAAGAGCTCAAAGCTACATATCCAGTCAATACCGTGGGGGTGGGAAGGGTCTTTTGGGGGGGAACATTGGACCAGCATTTCCCCCTCCTCTTGGACTTGGACGTTTGCCTCTTAACCTTGGGTCGGGGCCGTGGAACCGAGGAAATGGTGCACGTGGGGGTCCCCTGGGGTGTGGGTGGTGTGCCAGGTGTGGAGGCCGATGTGGAGGCCGATGTGGAGGCCGTAGACCAGGATGACGGATTTCAAGATGAGGTGGGGGTCTCCTTGGAGTGTACTGTGGAGGCGGGGGGCTGTGCCGCTGGAAGCCATGGGCGTAGAAAGGGTCCTCTGAGGGTGAGAGAGGTGGAGTGGGCCGCCCTCGTCCTCTGGGGTAGTGGTGTGGCGGGCTGCCTGGCCGGTAATATGGATCATCTGGGTGGCCGTACGGGTTGTCTTGAAAGAAAGGATCATCACTGTGGCGGAGCTCATTGTGGTAACGCTCGGGGTCCTCCTGGTAACGCAGGTCATCTGGGAAAGGGTGCAAATCCTCAGGGTGAGGAGGGCGAGGTCGATCGAGGTCATACTGCGGATCATCGGGATGAAACATGGATTTGTGTTGATGGTCGTGGACCACCATCCCACTGATGACACTGTCAACTCTGGCCCCAATCACCTCCCCTCTGTCTGCACGGGGCTCTGTCTGATGCTCTGGAGGCATCATTGTACTGCTTGGCGTGGAAGGAGGGGCGTCAAACCTAAGAGGAGGAGGAGGAGGGAAGTTTGGGATGGGAGGGAGGGTGCTTCTGAAGAAACCAGGGGATGTGGTGGTGCCCTGCTGAGAGGCCAACTCTTGAGGTTGCTCTGCTTGGTATGGATAAAGTCCTGCCATCTTGGTTTCTCCAGCCCCTTCAGGCGCTGTCACATTGTAGCCTCTGGGTTGCTGAGAGTTCCCCTCTGGGTAAGTAACACCATACCATCCCCTTTCACTCACCCCCTGAAGGCCTTCAACTGTCTGTGTGATACTGGCACTGCCTGGGGCTCTTTCTCCAGGCACTGGACCTCCTGTTTGCGCAGAGATCTTTTGATAATGTGCAACAGGTGCCGTACACCCATGCTCTGACATCTCGTGTTGACCATATGGGTACGGCTGGTACACCTTCCCATTCTGAGCCACACCTGGCTGCAAGTGAGGTTGCTGTTGGGGATGGTTGGGGTTCTGCTGACTGCTGTTCTGGTATGCAGTTTCAACCATAGATGACTGATTTGTGTTGGTAATGAACGGGGCCACAACAGGTTTGTCCATGATCTCATCTTGAGTTGGGGTGCCTCCGCCCTCATCCCGCACCGGAGTCCCACCCTGGTTGTCTGTTCCAGCTACTGGGCTGAGGTTATCCCCTTCCAGCACTGGGGTTGTAGAAAAGCCCAGATCAAATGCACTGAAAGCAGAATTCCCCTGCAGGAAACGGTGGATTTTAGATTCTAAACTCTTTGAAGACAAGGACGGTTCTGGCTCAGTTGTCAAATCCATGTCTCTATGGATAGCCTGGACCAGGGCAGAAGCTGTGTTGGAAGTCTGAGGGGCTTGGGAGCTTGTGCTCTGCCTTACAGTGGAGCTGGGTGAAAAAGGCACAGGTGCGACAGAGGAGACAGACGGGCTCTGAGAGGGTATTGCTGATGCAGATGTGGATGAGGGAGAGGGAGGAATCTTGCCTGTACTGGAGAAGTCTGAGGAGATATTTGCAGCTGGGCTGCTCAGAAGAGAAGTGATGCCTACGTGAAGAAAGGGAGAATGCAGAAATGTATTTTAAGTGAGCTTGCAGCTTTTAACAGAATATCAAAGTTTGTAAGAAAAACAAAAACTAAGCAAAGGATTCCTTATTCTCACCCTCAAGGTTGCCTTGGCCCTGGACTTTAGAGAGAGCACCAAGGAGGTCTTCAGGACTCATGTCCACCTTGGAGAGGAGGTTCACCAGTGAACTGGCATCCTGAGAGGCCACAGCCACAGAGGCAGCAGGTGTGGTCTTCAATGAGGAGGCAGCAGGGGCAACCGCAGGAGGACTCTCCACAAACGGTCCTGTGAGACAAGAGAGGGAATCTCACTTTAACTGTAAACCACCATGACTTATCAGTTGTTGGGAGAACAAAACACTTGAATATTGTGTGAAATGATGTGTGATAACAAAGTTAGATTTGAATTCAAACATATTCAATTCTGTGTTGCAAAGATATTAGGGTTCCCACCACACACAAAGAAAGTTCTTTCATAGCAGACATCAAGAAACACCATTCAAACATCAGTGTTAAGATTTTTTTATCTTTGTAAATGACTTAATAAATACTCCCATTATATTCATACACCTGTATTCAGTGGGATGTTACAACATCAGAAGTGCATATCTATCATAGAAGCATTGTGTGTTTAAGATATCGCATTGATGCATGGCTGTGACGTTAAGACACCAACCAGCACTCACCTGTGTTCTTTATGACTGAGTTTAAACTGTTGAGGATGGAGCCAATTTTACCCAGGTCAACACTTTCCACAGCTGCTGCAGGAACAGCTACAGGAGTTGCTACAGTTACAGCTGCTATAGGGGTCGGGCTCTGTGTGACAGGCTGCTCTGTTGCCACTGATGGCTTCCTTTTTGCAGGGACTTGAGTGGACACCTCTGGGTGGGCAGGGCATTCGATCTGCTCCTCAACTGAGGGACAAATGGGGCAGTGAGAGAGTTTGGATGCAATTAGACATGCACTGTAAGGAAACAAGTCAAGTACATTTATTTCATATTTGTTGTTAAGCAGCACAATTCATTTTGTCATTGTTTTTCTACAAGTACAGATCATTTATGGGGCCAGAAAAGCTACTGCTAATAAACTAATGGAGGGGAATATGCTGCCAAAAACACAGAAATATAACTCCTGTGGAAAACACCATCATAATACACAGGTTACCCCCAGGGGCGTTTACAGAAACATTGGGGGCCAAGCCCAGCCCAGAAATCTTTCATGTTTTCATATATAAAGCACATCTACAAAGCAACACATCTAAAGTGCATCTATAAAGCAACAGTAAATGACCTCTACACAGTAACTATAAGCTGTTTCATTTTCATGTTGCTACCATGTTGCCATTTGTTAAACGGAACCTTATACCTACTTTAATAGCTACATCTTAATTATTAAATATCATAGGCCATAAATACATCCATCCACCCATCATCAACCGCTGAAGCCAATCCCAGCTGACACGGTACACCGTGGACAGGTTGCCAGTCATATCAATACATTTATAATTACTAGTGATATTTATTAACACTGATAATAGTAATTAGGGGGTCTGGGGGTCACACACACACACACACACACACACACACACACCTGAAGTAGCCTAAAGTCTTTTTAAATGTGCATTTGGCACCTTTTCACCTCAATGATGATGAAATTACCTTAATTAATTTGAGTTCAGTTAGAAATTCCTGGATTTTTGTAACTCCTGTGTTTCAGCAGGCTTTCTGCTCATGTTCAAAACTTTCTGCAAATTAACAGTCTCTCCCATATATCTATTCTCAGTGTTTCCCTTAAGATGGGAGTTGTAGCAGCAGAGGTGAAGCGGAAAAAAAATTGTGCGTGTAGTGCGTAATATGTCTGAATATAAACCCCCAACACAATCCACATTAGCTTAAAATTACAGTGTTTTCCCATAGTTTTATGTGAGCTTAGATGAATGTTTTGGTGGTAGTCATCATCAGAGGGGTGGGGGGGTTTGGGGCTCCTCCCCCAAGAAAATTTTACATTTTCCAATGAAAAAAATGTAATTCCACATCACATTAGGCCATTATTTTCACCATATCTCTGAACAAATAGATGGAAAAGCTAGAGCAGATAATAAATAAACAACGGCCAAAGATCAGTCTACTGGGGAGGAACTACAACCTTTAGATTTGGGGAAAGTAACTTGGTTGGTTATGATGCTCTCCACAGTGATTTTACATTTATGGCACAGGATGACATCACCCCCTAAAACCCTGTTAATATGACCTCAGAAGCATTATAGATACAACTGTTCATATTTGCCTTTTGTGTCTACATTTTAAAGCTTTTGACATTTATTTGTAGACATTAATATAAAAAATAGGCAACACGAGAAACCACCTCCCTTCTGAGGTGCATTTTATTTACACATTAAAATCAAAAATAGAAACATCTCCTCATTAGCTTAAAAGGACTAGTTTAATCACTAATTTGAGTTAAGTTACTAACATCAGCTCCTCCAGTCATTACCATCCTTTCTTTTCCTAACAATCACTTTTTCAGACTCACCTGAAAACTGAAAAATAATTTAGGTATTTACTTTTATGTACCTGTCTGTAGGCTACAGGACAGAGCTTATAGGCTACACCAGTTTATTAAGTTTGTAGCTGATGATCTCAAAATAGGACTAGTAGGTAGTGATAAAATACAGTTACTCTCTATAAATTGAGCTAATGTTCAGTTACAAATTTTAAATCGCATCGCCTCTCCTGAATGCATACAGGGGAAACACTGGTTCTCTGACATTTGCAGAATAATATTTTGAGACAAAAGTCGGAATATTATGAGAATTAAATCGTTATCTGATGAGAATGAAGTCATAACATTTTAACAAAATCGACCTGCCCCTCTGCTGTGCATTACTCTGTGTTATTGCTCTGCTGATATGGTAGCAGGCTACCACCTTCAGACTGTCTGACAGGGACTGTACTTCGCGCACTGCTCTTCATCAGAGGTAGAAAACCAAAACTGAAAACTAGGGCCGTCAAATGATTACTTTTTTCTTAATCGTGATTACTCGCTGAATTTTAATAGTTAATCGCGATTAATCGCGTGTTTTATCACATAATTAAAATTCTATTATTATTATTATTATTATTATCATCATTATATATCTTAACTGTTTTAAGTCTGTATTAACAATGATAATTCTTGCCAGTGTATCTTGATTGGAAATCAAATGAATGCAAAGAAAGTTAGTTTTTGAACTTGACTTTAAGATTTATTTGATTATTTCAAATCAAAAGATATGCAACGAGACTGAGGTAAAACAATCAATGTAAATGAAATATAATCTTCCTTAGGCTTCCTTTAAAAGATTCTACAGCAAAAGTGCATGTACAAAATGTACACACATTATTATAAAGTACTACAAAATACTCCATAGCTACATTATTTTTGAATTCGGTTGAAACCTATGAGACAGCACTTACTTTAAGTAGGAGTTTCAGTTTGACTGATTTCTCCATTTCATACAGGCTATGTATGCTTGCAACAATTGTCCCCTGCGACAAAAATGTATATAACTTGCACTCTCCAAAATAGTGCTTTGCCTCAGTCCGCTAGCATCAACCTGATTAGCTGTACTAGCTGTATGCTTAGCTCGTTGATGGTAACGTTAGCTTAAGCTCTTAAGTGCTTTGATGATATTTTAATTCCATTTCGCACAAGGTGCATACTGCTTTTGACTTGTCAACGGAGCCGTCTGGGACTGTGTTGTTGTTCATCTCCATGGCTGCAGCAGGAGGTAGGAAGTGTCTGTGGCAGCATGACAACAAGTAAGGGTGCATCGAAGGGTCAAAATAATAGCAGCCAAAGATCTTTTTAGCAAAGATTCTTTGGTAACAGCACCAGTGACGGTGTAAAATAAGAATATTTGTTTGCGCGATTAACACAATTAAAACGCATTATGATCAGTCATCGAGATTAACGCGTTAATGCTGACAGCCCTACACTTGTGATCAGGCAGAAATATCACCACAAATCCACACAAATGTTCACTTCAGCACCTCTGATAAAGTGCAGTTCACAGCCGCTTCAGAGGGAATTAAGCATCCTGGAGCAGAGAGACAGTAAAACAGTGCAAATGTGTCTCTGAGCTAGCGGGGACAGAGACAGCAGGACACAGTGCAACAGGTGTCCGGTGCGCTCCGATATGTCATGTTATTCTCTCGCTACTTCGCGGCGACTGTTAACCGTTTGTGTAGCAAATACATTGACTAGACGATGACTAACTTTAAATGTTTTGATTACGATTTTGCTAGGGATGATTCAGTAGTCACGGACAAGCCCTGAAGCTGTAAGCAATGCTCGCTCGCTCTCTCTCTAAATGCAGGCTGGCTGAGTAAAATGCAATATTATTTCAATAATCTTTATGACTATGTCATAAACACAGATTGCATATTAATATGGAGAATATTTTACGAGCTGTTGTTGAATTACATTCAGGGCTACAGTCAAAACTACCTGGCTACGCCGACGGTTACCCATCTATTAAATTAAGTCAGTTTGGTTTTTTTACAGCACCGTTTTAAAACAAGTACAAAACTTCATCAAATGCTGACGTTATAATGACAAATAATATTATACTGGTTATAAGCTATTTTGCTTGATGCTGAAATAATGTAGGGCTGAAACTATCAACTAATCTGCTGATTATTTTTGTTTTTATCTTTAAAATGTCAGAAAATGGAAAACAAAATGTCCAGTTTTAGTTCTACAATGTCCACAATAGAGCAGCAAAATAACTTGGTAAATCAAACATAAAAAACTTCACTTGCCTATTTTTATTATTTTAACACATTTTCTGTCTAATGCTGCCACAGAAAATCAGTAGGAATAATCACAAAAGTTAGATCAGAAAAGTTAGACATTAAGTCCGTAAACACTACACTCCTTACCTATAATACCACCGCTGTCCATTTCTTCCTCAGAGAGGTCCATGTCTTCCACTTCACGATTGTCATTCACCCCAAGAGTCTCCGTGGGCTTGGGGGATCCTCCTGGTGAGGACAAGGGGCTCGGGGCAGGTGGCTCTGCCTCATCATCCATAGCAGAGCCATCAAGATCTGGATCAGGGTGGGCTAATTCCAGACCATGAAAAGGGGACTCCGAGCCCGTTGGAGATGGCGCATCTGCAGAGGGTGAGGGGATGGGTGACTCGTCCAGGTCTGGTAAGGTGGCCTTCAGGGTGTCCAGCTTACGCTTTAGGTGGGACACCCGGTTAGCAAACGTCTGGTAGGCCTTGAGAGAAGAGGTAACGGAGTATCAGTAAATGAAAAGTAAAACAAAACATGGTCTACCGTCTCGCTTTTAGGACCAGCTTACAATTCACCCTGGCACTGGGTACTTTCCTGTGATTTCACAGGTAATATGAAGTTTAATCTATTGTACATATAGTACATGGTTTAAAGTGATTCTCTGCACGTTATGGGCAAGTAGAGTGACTAACAAAGAAGGACTTCAACTAAATACAGGTCGGGCTAAGAAACAATACCAGCTTAAGTTTACTAGGATCCATGTTTATAAATTACAACAATGTTAGCATTTTCAGGATGTGATTGTGTATTCATATTGAAGCTCTACAAAGCTACAGATAACTTGTGTTTCTTATGATTGACAACTAAAACTTATTCAGAAACAACTATGTGACTACAAATACATCTGCCACTCACATTAGCAACGATCTTGACCTCATTATACTGCGTCTCGTAGAAGATATCTGCGTTGCTGAGGGCCTCCATGACAGAAGGCCCCATTTTGCTTTGTTTGTCAAGGAACTTGACAAACTCCTGTAGTTGTGCACTTCCTTCCTCAAAGTCCTTGGAGAACTTCTTCCCTCCAGCTTTATCTGTAAGAATCCAGCATGTAAGGATGATTTTTGAAGCAATGTGAGAAAGACAAAAAGCACTGCTGATCTTGAAGTGTTTAGTAGAAGAGACAGTAGAAGACGACTAAAGCAAGCACCTTTGAGTTTCTTGAGGGCCTCAGTACTGCAGATGTCAACCCTCATAGCTGTCAGCTGCTTTTCTCTCAGGTCAATCTCCTCCACAGATCTCTTGTATTTGGTCAGTTCATCTATCAGTGCCTGGGGCTAAAGCAGAGGTAGCAGTCAGCCACAATGTCAGAGCAACACGATATTTGACTAGAGCATAACTACTCAGTCCTCCAGGATTTCGTGGGTATTTTTTGTGATTGTTGCGGCCTAAAATGCCTGATTTTGCGGTAGCTTTTCAAAATTTACGATGAAAGTTGCAATGTTCTTAGGCGCTTCTTTGCGATGAAATTGTGGGAATAAATGAAAACTGCAAAGGTAGATGTGATTTTTTTTAAACTTTAGAATTATAGTTGAATCATTACAACAGTCCCTCCAGGAATTCATGGGCCTAACTCTAACCATGCATTTTTAAACCAACTTGCCTCGATTTATTCAGCACTTGCAATTCATAGTTTTCAGTCACCAGTGACTTGGAGGGACAACAGACCAACACCGCGAGTCCCCCATAGCGACGCCACAAAAGCAGTCAAATTATATTTGGATCACCCTTCAACTTAAGAAAAAGAAAGATATGAACACAAACTGCAAGTGTTGGGCATAACCGATCCATATAACGTTACAGCATCCGCTGCCACACTTTTACCGTTAAAAACCGCCAGGTCCCTGCCGCCGCTCGATTGCGGTAATGTCTACTTTTACCTTCTGGGGAATCCCTCACCTAACACAGCCCAGGCTTGTCTCCTCCTCAATAAGTAAATCCGAAAGCACAACAACCATCCAAACTCAAAGTAACAATGTATCTCTTGCATATTGGTTGGTAGGCAGCGGAAAATAACGTCCTTTTTGCCCTTTCAAGGGAGCATTTTCCTTGGAATGCGACGTCATGTGAAAACTAGGAATTGACCCTTCGCTAAGCCACGCCCCCTTAGTTACTGTCGCTAAGTCCGACAAACTGTCAGAGTTGTCGGACTTTTATCACAGTGCTGCCATTGTCTATTACTGCACTCTCCGGAGAAATATTGTCAAATTTTTTGAAAAAGGAGCAGACAGTTCTGTAGTTGCATTGTGCATTTAAAGGTTTTATTCAAGCTGTCAAACTGATGTGAAGAAATAAAGACAGAAGCTAAAGCCTCACAGTTACCAATCACAGAGTAAAAGTGAACCACCTGACTATTGAGAAAGAGGACAAAGACATTAAGAATCAGCACTGTTCCTGTACAGCTGGATAACATTAGGTTCACTTTTACAATCATTAAAAAGCAGAACAGTAGGGCTATAACATTACATTCAGAAGTAAGTTAGCTAGTGTTAACTAACTAACATTACATTAGGAACAATCCACAGCCTATGTTTTGGAAAGAGAATAAATCGTACTGCTTCTTTCAACCTCTCTGGGTAGCTACTGTAACTATTACAAGTGCCCCAGGAACAGCATTTGACCATATCTTGACAGAAAAATACAGCAAAGGAATGCTAGAAAATGACGCTTTTTGCATTAGAGTCAATAGAGCGCAGCCATTAAAGTGTCAGAACTCAGTTAGAGAGAGTCTTAGACTGCACTGTGATTGGCCAGCTGTGTATTTGGGGCATGGCTTAGCGAAGGGTCAATTGACTGGGATGCAGAAGCCTCTGTCACAGTGATTTAACTTTAATGCGTTTCTTCCATTCTCCGCGTATGTTTTGTGGTGGTAAAGTTTTTGTCAATAGACGATTTCCTTTTATGTTCAACCTAAACACTGCTCATTTTGCATTTTACCCCTGCTTTCATAAAGAAGATCTGGATACTGTTTTTCACTGTGCTTTGCTGGGATTTTTGTAGGAAAATGTGAGACACTGGTATCACACATGGAAATGGATGCGATAGGTCAAATCAGAAAAGTTGCGGAGATTAGTCAAAATTGCGAGCAACATCGAGAAATCCCAGAGGGACTGATTACTTTTATTAGCTTCATTTGTAAAATAACGATGTTGCAGTTTAGTTAGAGTTTAGTTGAGCTTAACACTTTAATTTTGTGCTTACCACAAACTCAGCAACAACCTTGGACCGTAGATCTGCTTTAGACTCTACTGGAGCTTTAAAAAAAAAAGAGAGATAAGAATAAAACTTAGAATAGAGCAAAAATAATGACCATCCCCAACATTCAGTACTTGGATAACAAAATAGAACAAAATTTTTAAAAATTGTCAGACAAATGTATTTCCAGAAATTATTAACATTTGGTGTAGAGATTAGATATTATAGAAATGTCAAAAGAAAGTAATAGGAAACAAAATACGCCAACAAACTTACTTTTTGGCTCTTGTGGTACCTCAGGAGGGGACTCCTCTTTGACTAAGCTACTCCTAAGCTCAGTAATGAGTGTCCCTGAGTACACACCCCTGTCCTCCCAGATGGACAGTATCCTCTCCACTGATTTAATTACCTTAGGGTCACCTTCAAAGCTGGAGGAAGGAGAGGAAATGACAGAATAAGGCCAAGGGAGACAAGAGATTTATGTTTTCTGAAATGTGTTTTATTGATGTGTGAGGATGTTCTTAAATAAAAGACTAGGACAGAGAGGAGACAGTGAACGTGACTAACAAAAGCAAAAGACAAAGGCTGAGCTTGAAATGTAGGAGAGGAAATATAAGGCACCCAACAATAAACATGTTGTTGCAATCAGTGCATTCCAATATACTGTACATTATTTGACTAACTACTTACTTGACCAGCAAAAGGGCGTCACGGAGCACCTCAGCAAATGCCGTACGGTAGACAATGGCATTTTTCCTTTTACAGTTCTGAATGACATCGTTGGCCAGGTAAAAAAGGTTGAGCCTGTGTAGGGCATCAGCTGTTAAAGGAAAGAGAGACAGTAGCGTTAGTTTGACTGGAAGGCAGATTATCTACCGAGGAAGGAGTTGAGCCAAAACAATCTGAATAGAGGCTCAGTTTCGTCGGCAGTGCTGCAATGTACTGATAATTTTCATGATTAATAATTTAAGTACAATTTTGAGGTACCTGTTCTTTACTTGAGTATTTATATTGTTTAATGCTACATTCTGCTTCTACTCTACTATATTTACTTGATAACTTTAGTTACTAGTTAGGCTACGTTGCAGATTTAGATAAATAATAATATTATAACAAAATAGAAATCAACTACAATAATACATTATCATGTATTATTATAGGTAAAGCTGTCAGGTATTTAAAGACTTTAAAGTTAGCTGCATTAGTGATGTACACATTAATGTATACAAATTATAATCTAGAAATACAATAAATAATATTTAATAATTATTCTGAAATGCGCCCATTCTGCATAATACATATTTTACATTTGATACTTTAAGCATATTTTGATGCTAGTATTTCCGTACTTTTTCTTAAGTAAGATTTTTTGAATGTAGGCCTTTTACTTACAGAGTAACAGAGTATTAGTATACAGTAGTTTTGCTACTTTTACTCAAGTAAAAGATAGTAGTACTTCATCCACTACTGCACATTACAAATTTGCAAAGTATATATACATTTTGTAATTACAAGAAATGGAAAATGCAAACAAATCTTAGTATTTTTTGAGCCGTAAATCTAAAATGTTTGGTAATTTCACTTAATAAATAACAATAGCAATTCATTAAACTCTTTTATTAACTTAAAGACAGACACATATATGACAATGTAATAGCGGAGAGATTATTCAAAAAAGGAATGAAATAACAGCCTACTTAATTTTCACACACACAGGAATGAGTATAATTTTTTTATACCGGTGCCAACATGAGGCCCAAATTCTGGTACAGACACCAAATCAATATTTTTATTTATGCTTTACTGACTGAGTACACCTTTTCCTATAAAAACCTTTCTTTATTTCAACAAAAGAACCAAACTTCCCAGCGAGCAAAACTAAGAGTGAGACCAAGCACTCTGTGCCAACTTCAGGTTACTTGACACTTTTAGAAAAGTTTCTACGGGCCGAATTTAATCAGTACTTTTAAAATACTAAGGTTCAATAACCAGCCATACAAATGCAATGCACAAACACTGCAATGCAAAAAAAATGACACAGGAAACAGATGATCTTAAGCTAATTTAAACAGTTGTGCTGAAATGAGGGTTTGCTTAAATTCTCAAAGTGACAGAAAAAAGAAATTACAACCAAAACAACTTCATCAGAAAAGAGTTCACTTTCAAGTTACTGGAAGGCAAACTGACGGTTACATTTATGTATTACATTGACATTTGAAAGCTTAAATGTGTGATCTGTCCAGCAGAACAATGACAGAATTGTACTCCATACAAATACCTACTATAAACTGCATTTGAGCTAACTGAAACACAACTTGCAACACATTACTTTAAACACAAACAGCAAGCGGAGAGAAACACAGACAATAGTGAGCCAAGACCATCTCTTTGTTTGGGAGTAAAACCAAAGTCTACCAGCACAACCTTTGCATAAAATATCAATAATAACATTCTTCCAGCCATTAAAAAACAAAACATGGTTTTGAAACATCAAAAACACATAATTAATTTAACATATAAAAGAAAGTTTCCTGCATTAATGACAATAAATGCAAGTCTTCAGACTGTAATGGAAGAAAATGTAATTACACTAACAATGAGTTAATCAGTTGTTTATTTTAGTTTCTATGACAGAAACCACACAAATGTCCATAATTCAAAAACCAAGACCTCCTCAGGTAAGCATTACTGCATACGCAATAATCCCTTCTAAACAAAACTGAATGTAATTGTCTGTTAAGTATATTTTGGCTGCTATTGTAAGCAGCCATAGGTTAAATAAAAATAAATAAAACATTACAACTGGAACCATGAGCTGACAGTGTTTTGCCTGCTGATTAACTTAATTTTCCATCAATTAGGAAACGAGAGAGCAGCATAAAACAATGTTATAGCTAAAGGTTATCACTGAAATTTTGATATCTGTAAGATATATAAGCACTGAGCAAGGCCCTGAACCTCTAACTGCTCCCTGGGTGCTGCACAATGGCTGCCCACTGCTGATCGCTTTGGCTCCTAGTACGACAATGGTGACGTCTTTAAATGTGTTTGTCCAACCAATCCAAAGATATTTCATTTACAATGATATAAAACAAAGAAAAGCAGCATTGCCATATTTTTTAAAGAGCAGGAAACAACATATGTTCAGCATTTTTCCATAATAAATAACCTAAACAGAAATATTATTGAAATTGCAATATGGCCAAGTGCAATATTCAAATCTCTGAAGCTGCCATTTTTTGATGAAGATGAAATGTGTGACAAAAACAGCATTGTAATGAAGTACTGTAGTTCTGCGGCAATGCCACCGCCTACAAATGTTGTTCTCCAGAAGTAAGAAAACATGTTTGTTTGGTAAAGACCCCAACAAATGTCACATCATCAAGATTTTAATAGTTTTTTTCAGTGAAAATAAAAAAATTGAAAAATTCAGTGAAAAAAAAAAAATCATTCACACTTAATCATATCATATCTGTTAAAATAATGAATATGAATATATTCATTATTTTAGGCAATAAAGGCAATATGTTTTTTTTTTTACCATATTGTGCAGTCCTGTATTCAAGTGTTATCACTTGAATAAAGACCAGTGACAAATTTTACAATCAGCCTTTAGGACTGTATCTTGCTCTTTGCCCAGTTACAATAAGAAGCACACAAAGCTAAAATTACACAAAGTAAAAGTCGAGACCTCAACCCAACAGGGACAGCTCATGTGAAATGTCACACAATGTACAAAGCTGGGAAACGCTGTATATTGGTATTCTGCTATGAAACGCGTGGGATTTTTATAAAAAATTAATTTTACAGTAAGTTTTTTGAACAATATTCATAATGTCTTAGAAGAAGAAAAACAGCCTTTGGTAAATTTAAACCAGACACTTTGGCTGCTCTGCATGTGATACTCCTTTACATTCTGAAAATATTAAAAAACAATGTTCTAGTTTTCGTCCCAGATATGCAGTCATTCTTATGCATCTGTAATAGAAACATGCTAATATTTATAACTTTGCAACTAACTTTGTGACGAATTTATCAATCAATAGACTACAAAGAAAACACTGTTTTAAATGATGAGATTACCATGAGTAGGCTCAGAACAATACACTGGATAGAGCAGCACCATGAACAGGTCGAAGTGACCTGTTGGGGCCCTGGGAAACAAATTTGCGGTCAGGCCCCTGCTGCCTTCAAGTTTACTTCACAAAGTACAGTGCAGACATCATGTATAGTTGGCAGCTTTCATATATTATGCACAAAGACATATATATTTGAATTACCTCATTTAAAGGTGCATAATGTATGATGGGAGCACAATCTAAACTCAAATAATCAAAGGTGTTACATCAGACACACAAGACAATGTAATAATGTATGTCCCTGTTGATGCTATACTGTAGTGGTGCAAATTCCCAAAGAATTTTGCAAGTAGTCAAATTGCCAAAAGGTAACTGATCCACAATGAACCTGGGACTCTTAGGGGGCCTAGGAACTCATTCCCTAGCTGGTAATCCAGCTTTGAGTATCACTTGACAACTGCAATCAACAACACAAAATCAAATATCTCCTTAACTAGACTTTAGTAGCTACGTTAAGTTTGTCTGTCTATGGCGTTAAATTGTGGAACAAGCTAAACAATAATTTTAAAAAGATGTACAAAGAAATTATATTCAAGAAGTACAGAGATGAAGTGCAGTTCTAATAATCACCTGAGGGTCTATTAAATTATATGAAGTATGTGTTCAAATATTGTTGTGTATATAATAATACAGCTATTCTTGATTATTATTGTTGTAGATTTTTTACCTTGTAATGTATTATTGTTCATGGCATTTAGGGTATAAAGGGGTACGAGTAGAGAAGTTTTACTTCTTCCTACACCTTTTCACACATAAACAGAGTGGTTAAGTACAGGAAATTATGTTTTGTTGTTCATCTTTTACCACTATTGTATTTTTGTTTGGCTTTTCTTTTCTTTTTTACATGTACTAAATAATTATATCAATCAATCAATCCTGTCAGCACATGAGGCAGCATAATATTTTAAAATATAAAATTTAAAAATATCTTCTCAAGATTGACATAATCCCTCTTGAAAGCACCTCCATTTGTCGTTTTTTAGCATCCCAGCATCAGGTGCCGGAGGTACGCACGTTTTAACTAGTTTCCCGGTTTGTTAGTAACGTTAAGTTAGAAACATAAACTATATTATTTCATAGAAACCTGGGACACTAGGACTGTAGTCGCCTCTAACAGCTGAAGCACCAACTGTCAGTTTAACGGTCAACGTCAGGAAAGCTAACGTTACTTACATTTCTTCAAACACTTGATCCACTGCCGCACAATCAGGCTGTGGTACTTCTTGTTGTCGATGCACCACGTTGACAATCCTTGAATTGAATCCATCGTGTTCGTGACACTTTGAAACTTCTTGACCAAAGTGGACTCCAGGGAGCCGCCAGAAGCGGCCCCTGCTCCCGCTGCCATTACCGGAGGAGCTCGCGCTGTGCTCTACCATTCCAAGTTAGCCGTGGCTAGCACTTAGCTTAGCATGATAGCTTAACGCAGCACAGATATAATCGCCTTCAGCAGCCTCTCAGCTCCCACTGTTTTTACAAAATATTAAATGCTCGGTATGCTGCTTCAAATCACTATCTGCGTCTCCGTGTACTTCGGTATCACAGCTAAATTTATAGTTTATGTCATTTAACGTTTAAGGCGAAAACTTAGCGCCTTGCGACATCCAGGAGGTCTGTTTACTCGTCGCTGGCGGAAGATGAAGGACACTTCCGCAAACACGACGTAGTTATGGCGCCACCAAGTGCCACGGAAGATAATGTCTGTTAGCGACACATGCTGCGTGTTACTGGTAATGTAGGAAAGGTATTTATGGTATAGCTTCAGGACAGTGGTGGAATGATAATTCAGATCTTTTGCTTAAGTGGCAATACAACAATGTTAAATACAAAATACTCTCTTATTCAAACAGGCTTTTAGTTAGACGAGGGTTTTATGGCTTTCTAATGTATGTTTTTCCTATGTATTTCTATGTTTTTATTTATTATATCTCACTTTGTTGTATTGTATTGCACTTTATTGTGAAGCACTTCGCGACTTTTATCTGGTGCTATATAAATGAACGTTACTTAACTTACTTACTTACATACTGTATACATAATGTTCATAATTTTTATTGTTGTTTTTATTCTTATTATTATTTTTATTGTATATTATTTTTAATATAGGCTACCGCTATTATTTTTAATATACCGTCAACCCGCGTTGACCATCCATCCATCCATCGTCATGGATGGATGGATGGATTATTTGTAGCCTATATAGTGTTTATACAGTGTGTATATATTTTTAATCCTACCTAGAATGTAAATTGTATATTGATTGAATTTAGTGTGAATACAGTGTGTATATTATGTATACATGTATACTAATGCTAACTGATTCTACTTTTGTTGTATTTTGTTCTTTACATTCCTCTATATTAATAAAGATATAGCTTATCTTATACAAATACAAGTTTACCCAGGTAAAAGCACAGCAAAAAGTAAAAAAGTATCAAAAGTAAAAGCACATATCCTGCAGGATGGCCCCTTCTGAAGTGTTATATATCATAATATACAGATTACATTTTGTTTATGAATAGTGATGCATTAACAAGCTGTCAATTTTGACTATTTAAATACTAATACTAACGTTTATTTGTAGTAATGCATGTAAACTCTTTATCAGCAAAGTAACTATAACTGTCAAATAAATAAATAAATGTAGCTAATATTCCCCACTGAAATGTAGTGGAGTAGAAATAGAAGGTTTTTCCTAGAATGTTTCACCATAGTATATAGTTGTAGTAGTTTTACCCTTATAGTTATACCCTTTTAGTGTTTAATTGTGATTAATCAATTAAATGATCAGTTTATAGAAATCTATTATAAAGTGACTGATTAAATTTGCAATTAATTATTGCAGTCTAAAAATATTTGATCGTTTAAAATCTAAACTCCTGACAAAGCAGAAATCCAGCTGCTGCTCTGTGGGTTGGATTTCATTAAATGTTTATGTGGTATACTGCAAACACACCTTTTAAATTAAAGAAAATGGAATATGGAAGCTTAAAATGTTAAAGCAGGAAAAATGGTATTAATCTGACCGACTACAGACAAGCTTGTACTGTCGACTGTGTGTTTTATTCCAGAAATCAACAAATATACTGTGTTTTGACGAACCACATCATTCATTTAATATATAAAAATATGTGCATTTATCAATCAATCCTCAGCAATGACAGTTTCATTATAAGAAACAAAGAAATAGCCTTAAACAAAGGAAACTAAAATCAAGGAAGATACAACTGGGAAATCAAATTTTTCCTCTACTTTCAGCTTTTCACCTATTTCACAAATGAAAGACACTGTACTGTTATTTTAAAACAACCCTATACTACACTATTGTTCTCCACCACGTGGTTAGTTTCCATTTTAAATAACAAAACTCAGGGCCAATGCAGCAGCACACTTGGTTTACAATGACATATGCAAGTTTAGGGTTACCTTTATGTCTTATATATATGTAAGGCTGACTGGTGACAAACCACCAGAGATGAAACACCATTCAACATGAATGATATCTGATTTAAAAAGGGTGGTACAATGTGCAAATGCCATCAAAAATAACTGATGTGTTAGGGAACAGAAATGTTTGTTTCTCATATCTCCATGATATTCCCTCATTACATAATCAATAGTAAAGCACTTTGAGTGATTTTGTAACAGCAAGTCAGTGACACAAATCAATTTTAAATGGGATACAGAAGCTGCTCCCTCATAATGACATGTTACATTTGGGCATTCAAATAAAACACAATCAAATTATAAGCATAGTTGTAAAGGCTCAAGTACCTGTAAATCACCCATCTTGGCTCTATCAGTCTGCTGATGGAGTAAGGGTTTCCAAGTACTGATTCTCTTAAACACATCTTTAATAAATAATTACTATATAAATAACTTTTTAATGTTAACAAAGGTGAAAGGTAACAAACAGTTCCTCATCATCATCCAAAGTGCAGTTACATCTTTTGAACACTGGATCAAATATATTAGGCCTGATCTATAAGGTATAAAAAAATGTCTTTCTACACAAAACAAATTTATTCATTGGCAAGCAAAAACAGTAAATGGCATTAACATCCAGACACTAATTTTATAGTTCCTTAACTACCTCAATAATTATTGATCAATCAGGTTGTGGTATTTCCTGTGCAGTGTATTGTTCTTTTTACTTTTTTTTGTAAGTGCAACTACACCTTTCTTATTTACATAAAAACAAAGATGTTGTGTGTCTTAAATGCAAATAAATTAAGAAGTAGTGACTGTGAAGTAAGGTATTTGATAAGATAATGCAAAATGGTTTTGTTTGGCACATGTTGGCACTACCTACATGCCTTTTTTCCACCATATGTTACAATCAGCAGGCAAAATACAAATATAATCTTTTTAAATGCCATTTTAATCTGTGTTCATGATTGAAATGTTTTTTGTAACTGTGCCAGGGCTGCAACTAATTATTTTCATCACAAATGAAGTTGCTAGTTATTTTCTCGATTCATTGTTTAATTAAAAAATAAATAAATAAATAAAAATGACCATCACAAGTTGCAGGAGCACAAGGTAAAACCAAAAGGTAGTCAGTTTACTTTCATATGTGACAAAGAAAAGCAAAAATCCTCATATGTAAGAAGCTGGAACCAGAAGATTTACGGAATTGTTGTTTGAATGATTATTTAATGGACAAACAACAAATTGTTTCAGCTTTAAACTATAGCGGCAATGATCCTCAGTGTGTTTTCTCACCTTCTCAAAAGTGATATGTTATTTCTGTTTCTCACCAATGACGTGAAATCCAACACTGTTACTGTTGGGGTTTTGTTCAGTAATATGAAAAGATACAAAACAAAGCACAGACTGCTTAAGCGCATAACACATGTAAAGTTATTTTCAACAGTTTTTAACTTAGTAAATGTCAATGTATACAAAAGTGATACTCTCACATATATATAATGTAATATAGTGCAATAAGTCCGGTGTAATCAAAAACCACACTGGACAGTTAGGAGTTAACGAGAGTCTTCCTGCATTTCTCCTCCTCCTCCTCCTCTTCTGGTTTTACATGCCTCACAGCCATCACAGATTGGCTCTGCGTCTAACTTTATGCTTATGTAATCGGGTCCGCCCTCTGTCTTCACTCTCGCTGGCATGCTGTGGCACTTCCATGTGGTAGCAAAGTCAGCTAAGGCCAGCTAAGGTGAGTCAGTTGTAGTAATGGTGTCACTTGAGGACACTGAGCTGTCCTGTGCAGCTGGGCTGCAACAAGGGGAAGTGGAGGGCAAAGAAAGCTCAGGCTGCTTCCGATACTCATTTTCTCTCTTGCTACATAAATATAACGGCCTATCAGTGTCTGTAAATTTGTGTCCAGCTGTGCACCTGCCCCCAGTTGGCTCAGCTGTTTCTTCCGCTTGAGTTTTCTGTCTTTTCTGTGATCCAGGTAGACATGTGGAAATGATGTCAAGTGAATCAGCAGCCTGGCAGCTCCCATGTTTTCCATGTAGATGGTGCTTCTGCTCGATTGGGACTTTGCCAGAGTATTCAGGGTCTGACCAGCTCAGTTTTCTCTTCTGGAATGGGAAGGAAAAACCAAAAATAACAACCATGACAAACCAAGGTCTTAAAGGAAAGCTACATTTCATTACAACTTGAGTTCAGCTGAGTTCATTAAAAAATCAAACCGAAGATGTAATAAACCACAGTTTTCTCTTAACCAGAATATTGACAGCTATCAAATGTACAAGTCTGGGGAGTTTAAGCACAAAGACGCAGTATCATCTAGTGAATATCTTTAACTCTCCTTTAAACATGTTTTATATACTGTGGCTACTTCTTTACAGTAGTAATGTGTTAATATATTTCAGATGATGCTAGATAGATGCTTGGCTGTTAAAGAAATTGCTATTTTAATAAGCTTAGTAACACCTCTCAGTCATGAAGCACACAGTTTGATTAGCACACACTTAAAGCACTGTCATGCGGTAATAAAGGTAACATCCAGTATAAAGCTCACCTTAACTGGCATGTGGAGCTGATTTTGGCGCCAGTGTGGTGGTTGTCTGAGAGTGGTGGTCTGACTTGGTGCATCTGTGGACTGAAATGCCACCTGAGGGAACCACATTTTGAGCAACATCTCTATCTGCAGCAGGTTTTGGAGGTATTTCTCACTGCAAAAAGAAAAAAGAGTTAAGGCATCGATGACAATGGCACTGTCTCCATTTTCACTATTGTCATAATGTTACGTACGCTACGTGTGATGGTCTTACCCCATTTCAGGCCTCTGTAGTATTCCAAGAATCCTCTGCAATCTGTCTATGGCAACACTCTGCTGGAAGCTGGATAAACCTGCCGCAAATAAAATATACCATCCAAATGTCAGGGCAAATAGACACTTAGGGATTTAATTACAGGACAGAATGCAGTAAAACTTAAGATGAGATGATAACCATGTTTGATATTGCTCAACCACATACCTTTCTCAAATCGCCCCATCTTTAACCCCTGTAGAAGCTCAAGCAGAGGACGGATAAACCTGCACAAATCTGTACACTGAGAGAATAAGGAGAAAGACTAGTGTTATTACTATAACTGATCTAATATTTTGTTGACAAAAATACTGAAACAAAGGGATCAGTTTAATGGAGCTCACCTTCTGAGCGAAAGCCAGGTCCCCTGGTGTGGCTGAAGATGACCCTAGTGTGGCAGCTCCAGGAGAAGAGGCTGAGTCGCGATGCTTAGTTTCCCCCATGCAGTGTTCAGGCTGGTCGCCCTTAGACCTCAAGTGCAGCTGATCTGAATGAGCTGGGAAATCAAGGTAATTTCTAGAAAGTGTGATTCCTTCATCAACTGAGAGGGGATTCCTTATTCCACTGTCCCCGTCTCCCTCTGAGAAGACGTCTGCTTCATCCTCCGTCTGCTCACTCTCACTGAGGAGAAAGCTTGAGGTGGAGGGTAGTGAGTCATAAGATGGCCATTTGGAAGAACTGCCCAATGAATTCATCTGTGGAGACAGGGAGATAATAATGTCAACAGAACGTCAATGAGAACAACTTTTTGGGCACTGGGCGAAATCAAACACATAGGGTTGCAGTATTCAAATAGAAAGAAGTTGCACATACAGTTTCAGTATACTACATACTAAAGAAAATCTATTTGTGTCTTCCAATTGCACATATTAAAGCATTTATATAAAATTTCCTAAGTGACTTTCTGTGAAACAAGTAAATTTAATAAAATGTGATACTGGCTGAATAAAAGGTCAGAATACTTTTGAAGAAATATTTCAGTATGACTGCTTCTTAGAAGATACTTACACATAAGAAATGTAAAGATTATTAGTATTAGTAATTAGACATTAATTTATCATATCACTCAGTTACAAGTGTCTAATAAGTTTAGAAATTTTTTAATGCGGTCTTTTAAGGTCAATACAAGCTATTTCAAACACATTTTATCTGTTCTCATACAGTATAAAGATACTGACAGTACATCAACATGTCAATCAAGCCATATAACACATTCATTGGTGTGTTATATGGTGTGTTAAAACCTTTAGTTATTCATATAATAATCTAAATATTCAGCAAAATAACCCAAACACAATCCTTTAGTAAGAATCATGAAGTGCAAATTAGAATTGTACTAGTGGCCAAAAGCTGTGAGTAACCTTCTCAGCAAGAGCAATCGAGATGATCAACGTGGATACATTATCACATCGGAAGCCAGCACACAAAGGACCTGCTCTTCCTATACGACTATACGAGTCAACCATAGACTGCATATAAAGTCAACGCATGCAGTACCAGAAGGTATGTGTGGTGTGCATAAGTGGTGGGTGTGTGTACATGCGCTCTGTGCTCCAGCAGAAATTAGTTTGGTAATTTGAAGACAGATTTGTACATCTATTGTTGACAATGAGTACCTTGTATAACCAAAACATCAATATAAACCTTTAACCTGCAATCTGATTTGACATTAAACAAATCATGTTTTCAACATGTTTGACGTGACTGGCACGATTTCTACAGCCACGGCTACATTTTGCACATTTATTATGTGAAGACTGCTCTACATTGCTAGATTAATATAGTTGTTTAAAACGACACAAGCAAGACACATGCATAAAAGCAGAACGTGTGGCCGGTTGGTCCTGTAACGTTAGTAATGAAGTCTGGTGGTGCGAAATGTATATTGGAAGTTATGAACAACCATTGCTACCTATTCTATTTAATGTACAACTGTTTATAAGTCTGAAAAACAGCCAGCTTTCCCTGAAAAACAGAAAAAAGTCAGAGGAGAGAGTTCTTACCTTACAGTCGGAGCAGAAGCGTATTCACAAAAACGGTCAAACAAAAACAGAAATTCTTGAGAAAGCACGTTCACGCTACTTTACCACGTTTCACAAATTTATAATATTAGAGAACTAACTTCGACAAAGCTATCGGCTGTCTTTGTCAGTGCAGATGTGTACACGCCGCGGTTCCGTGTGTTACCCAGTACACGTTCAGTCCCACCCAGTCTCTTCAATCCCTGCTCGTGTTTCGTTTACTTAAGTCAGACGTACGACCTGTTCAAAAAGTACCCACATAGCGCAACGGACACTACACGTGCTGAACAGCTTCGGAGCAGCGATTGGCTGCAGACGTGTTCGATCTTTTCTCATTGGCTCAGAGGCTTGACCAATCAGCAGCATCCGTAGCACCGGTTGGCTGGTAAATGCGTAGATCCCACCTCACCTGCCATGGCAGCACGTGCGGGTGGTGTGGCTGGAGAACGAGAACAACAGCACGCGGCAGTTGGCATGTGCCTAAAATGTTGGTATGGAAATTAGGTTACATAGACAATACTTTTATGGAAAATAACAAGGCAGGCTGCTGTTTTTCAGTGTGTATATGTTTTTTATTTTATTTATTTACTTGCTTGTTTATGTTCAACTTTATATAACGTTGTCCTCCATTTCTGTAAAAAAAAAAAAAGACCCACATGAAGAGGCTATCTGAATATAAAAACACGTGCACAAAAGATTAAAGAGGATGAGATCTAGGTTTGTCACAAAATACAAAACAAAATATCACACACCATACCATTTAACAACACTTATATGGCAACATATTAAACATATGACCATCCATCTTCCAAATGATCTTAAGTCAAATAATCTTCATGTAAAAATTGCTATGCTTAAATGCAATGACCCCAGCAGAAAATCACTGCATGGCAGCACTTTTAAGGAACAGCAAATTTAGACAGATGATACTTTTTGTTGTGCAATTAACATCGGCTCCAGTTTCTTCATTGTTGATGTTGAAGTGAATGTAGATAAGACAAGCGAGATTATGAGCTATGGCATCATAGGCTTATTAGAGCTTTGAACACAGTCTTACATACCAGTAGTTACATAATATGATTACTATATGCTGAGGAGTCAATCAGTACTTTCGTTGCATGCAAAATTAAGAAATGTTAGATGCAGGAGGATGGGGCGAGCCATGCGATCAAACATCTTTGGAGACTGGTTTGACACTTAATTATAGTTCAAACAATAGTGATGAGTTGCCATTGTCATAATCATGAAATGACTTATTAAAGTTTGATAGATCTTCCTAAGGCTTATTTAGTTTACAAACAGTCTGTACTGTGTCTTTTTGCAAATCAAAAGATCAGAGATGTTCTTTTTATGGAAGATTGTTTGTGTCTTTCTTGTCAAGGGCTTTTCTGTATCTGTGAAAAGAGCATTGATGCATACTCCTGAAGTCTGCATAGCGACATTTAGTTCCAGTATTTTTTATTGCAACATAGATACAGTCACTATGCAAAATAGCATCGTCAAAAATTATCAGCTGATACTTTGTGCAGTGGTCAATGGGGAAAAGAAAAATCACAGGCAAACTAAAAGTATTCTCAAATATGCTGGAATACGGTTAGACTGGAGGGGAGCTTGTAATTGGTCTAAATCTGTTCTTCACACATTTTGAGAACAAGTAAGGATTAAAAAAATTGTGTGTCATGGCTTTATGTCTTCTACTGACGCTTTGTCTCAGTCCACCATGACCTCTGACCTCCGTGGTAATGAAGTCCTTCGAACGCCTGGTGTTGTCCCACCTTAAATCCATCACAGACCCACTCCTGGACCCCCTGCAGTTCACTACATCCTCCAGCACCTGGACTCCCCAGGAACCTACGCCAGGATCCTGTTTGTGGTTTTCAGCTCTGCTTTCAACACCATCATCCCGGCCCTGCTGTAAGACAAGCTCTCTCAGCTGAACGTGCCTGACTCCACCGGCAGGTGTTCCTGACAGACAGGAAGCAGCACGTGAAGCTAGGTTAACATGTCTCTGATTCCAGGATCATCAGCACCAGTTCCCCTCAAGGCTGCGTTCTTTCCCCCCCTTCTCTTCTCCCTGTACACCAACAGCTGTACCTCCAGTCACCAGTCCGTCAAGCTCCCCCCTTTCAAACAATATAAATGTCTCTGCAGATGTAAATACTATTTCATTTCATATCATGCACAAACCTGGCACATTGCACATATTTGTTGTTAATTGTTAATCTTTGTTGTTGTATATTTTTATATTGTGAATTTATATATTTCGTTGCAGTACGTCTGCACAACACAAACCCAGAATAATGCACACAAAAAAAAACTGAGCATGAGCAGCAGCCAAATTATTGTACTGTTGCGTGAGTTAAAGCTGAAGGATATGTTTATTAGAAGAAAGAGAACTGCTGTTCATTTACATTTATCTAGCACTTTTATCCAAAGAGACTTACAATTGCTATATATGTCAGAGGTCACACACCTCTGGAGCAACTGTGTGTCTTGCTCCGGGACACATTGGTGAATATGTCACAGTGGGGAGTTCAACCTGGGTCTTTCACACCGAAGGCATACATCTTATCTAGTGCACCACCACGTTTCTAGCCGGCCCTGCCCAGGTTTTTGATATGACCTATGACCCAATAAATTAATATCTAAGTAGTGACATGTTTGTAATTTTGCGCACCATGTGGTTGATGTTTGTCAGTGATAAGGGAGTGGCAGTGTGTGTGTTTGTCGAGTAGGAGCCAACAAAAACATTTGCACATTTCACAATCATATTACTGTGCACTGATGCTGACTGCACAACCTATGTATGTTACATAGACACTGCAAGTGAACAAGACTTAAAACCTCACCACCACACTAAAATCAACACAGCTTAAACTGTCCAATTACCTTTTTCCATTTTCCATATATGAAAAGCTGTTAAAAAATAGCCATTTTTGAGATATTTGTCTCTGCCACCACAATACGGGTGGGGGTGAAAGAAAATTCAGTTGTGGAGCTCACAGCATGGAAAATTACATAAAGAAATCAACAGCAACATCCATGTTACTCTGAATAATATGCAGAACACAGTCAACAGCTTTCATGGGGACTATTTCTTCATCAAAAAGTTCCAATGAAAACTGCTCACAGTGAGGTCTATGGATCATCAACAGTAACAAGCATGCTTTTTCAAAAATTTACTGTTTACGGTAATTCTTTTATGCTGTTCACAGACTAATTAAATACTATCCACCTCTATTATATTTGGGGTGGAGGCAGACACCTAAGGAGAAGCTTGAATCTGAGAAAAGTCAAAAACTTTCAGTGTAAAATATAGGTCATCTATCATACTGTTCCATTCAGTCCTCTCACCCACTGACAGAAACCACAGGACATGATATAAATGTGACCTGGTAACCTCGGACAAGTGAGCCTGGTGCGAGCGCTTAACATTCCCTGTGTGCGGGAACTGAGAGCAAGTTCACACTTTAAAGCCCCCTGTGGTGAAAGATGTCTGACAGGTGTGTCTCTCTTTTAGGAGTTTGCGGGAGGTGGTCGACATCGTCAGTGGACATTGACATCACATTGTGCAGTAGTGACCTTGAAGTCATTAACATCAAGCTGCTGCTGAGCTGAGACCCTGTTTCTAATCGAAATCGCAGTATGGCCAACTGCAAGATTGAAATTGCAGGGGCTGCAGTTTTTTTGATAAAGTAAAAAAGTAAAGCAAAAATTACCTTCTAAAATCCTAACTCAAATATCTATCAATAAATAAATTGCAATATGATTTTTTTCAGCACTCAGATTGTCCTATATACTATATTTGTGTGTTTACAGTAGTTATCAGTTTGTTTTTGTTGTTAAATAGAAGTTCACCAACTTACAACTTTCAGAAATTGTCACGCATTTATTAGGTTTTCATTAGTAAGGTTGTGTGGGAAGCGTCAAAACACAAAATGTCATCAACCAAGTATTCATTAACCGGCTCATTACAACCAAGAATGATGAATAGGTTTCCCTCTCAGTACAAGCACCACACTTTTCATGCCAAATTCTGTGCAGAAAAGGGAAAAAATGTCCAAAGTTGATTTGACAATGAATGTACTTCTACAAATGTTTTCTTCCTTTTACTGTGGTGACACAATGTGACAAGATGAAAGCTACTTTTCTCAGTAATTCCCAAAGTTCATTTAGATGTGACAGTGACATTGTAATGATTGCTTCTTCCACTTTGCTGGGCCCATCTCAACCAGTCCATTGATAACGTCCTGTTCCATCACACTCTATTTCACTAGCAGCCGAGCCAGGGATCCTCTCTATTTGTCCTGGAGATGAAGGCAATTTTTCTGGCCATTTCCGTGTGGTAGATCCGCCTGCAGTTCTCAAAGTTCTTCCGCTGTCGCTCTCGGCAGGGCTTCTCGAAGTAGCGCTTTTGCTTCACCGTTTCAATAATCCCATCCTGAGTAAGGACCCTGGAGTTTGTAGAGAAAATATGTAAACAGCGGGGACTTGGGTTGCATTCAAGGCACTCTATTCAACAGATTAGACACATTATAATAAAAGACAAGAAAGCAGTGAAACTACATACATCGACCTATGCTTAAATTACAATCCTTTCCAACCTAAAAAAAATGTTAATTATACATTTTCAAACTGTACCTAATATCCATTATGATAGACAATCACTGGACACAGAACATGTACCAGATTTGTTTTACATTATGGATAATGGAGTAGGTCACAAAAATTTCACAAAAATGTTGTCCTATATTGTAACTCATTTTATAAATTCCTGGTTCGGCAGAGAAAAACCAATAATTTTTCATGATTCATGAAATCTGTTCAGACTTTTTTGAGATGTCTTCTGACTAACAGGTCAGCAAAGAAACCCGAAAATGAATTTATGAGACTACATTTATTTCAAAATGCATCTTTTCAAAAGTCTGCTTTTATTACAGAATGACATTTTTCCCCCAGTGATGTCGCTTTTCATGACAGTGGCGTAGTCACTGCCTTCTCACTTTTCAGCCAATCACATGCTCCTTGCCTTATAAGCTAGCAAGCTCAACAGCTGCTAACAGAAATGGCAGATAAGGTTGCAAAGAGGGCCACAAAAATAATTACACTGATGTGTCAAGTTAGATTCAGTAAGACAGATATCAAGAGCATTATTAAACTGATATTGAAAGAAATGTGGCAAAAGCAATAGGAGGAAGAGAGGAAAGGAGAAACTTTTAGTAGTATA